TCTCCTCTCAAGTCCTTTTTTACTCTCCTAAGCATTTGTTTTCCTAACAAAAATCATCATGTCTCTAAGAAGACTAAATCAAGACATTTAAGTTGTATTTCCTTGTGTTTCTTTATTTTTCTTTTAGAGGGCCATCTCCCTAAAGTTTCTGTGAGTCAAAGTCAACTCACCACCACATAGCATCAGAGGCCTAAGATGCAGCTCTAAAATCAAATTCAGGACCAGTACCCCAGGATCACCTGTTTTGTTCTCTGTCCATGTGGGCTTTGCCTCAGCCTTGGTGTAGATTGTCACAATTTACTAATTTTGTGATAAACTATTAGAACTGTGTTCCTGGAAACATAGTTTTGTTTGTTTGTTCTCTGTTTCTCTTTTAGAAAGGAGGATGGATTTGTTTACTTTTTCCTTTTTGCATTTGAATACTAAAGTAAGTGAATTTCTTCTTAATGACCTTTTTAATATTTTGTGACAGTCTTCATTTTGTTTGCAGGTACCGGGGGCCCAAGATTTGGTGGATTTCTCTCCTGTTTATCGATGTCTACATATATATTCTGTGCTGGTGAGTCTATCTGGCTCTACTTAGGAAAGACATATATTGTATTCAAAACTCTGCTTTCTTACATTTGCTAGTTTTTCTGTTATTACTAAGAATGTGAAATAGAAAGGAAAAAAGAAAAGCTAATAACAACAACAAAACCAGAATGTGAAATGGGAAGCTCTTTTTGTTGTTTAAGAGCTATAAATTGCTCAAAAAAGTAATTATTTTTTTTTGAATTTTTAATGTACATATGTCACTTAATATGTTATCATTAAAGTTAGTGATGCCAATTTCTATTTGTCACTTGCAAATTAGCTTCTATCTACAAATAGACATATACACATTCACATTTTTCTTGATTTAATGTGGCACTTTCTATACTATTAACCTACTTTCTCACTGTAATAAGTTGTTTACTTCCCCCCCGAGTACAAATATTCTTTTGTTATATAAAGGAATTCAGAAATAAAACCTCTTTAGGGAAAATGTTGTGGTTATTAATAAAATATTTAAGAAATATTTCTCCATCTTGGGAGTATATATTCACAGACACACATAGAAGCCGTCATACACTTAAATTATGAGGCTGAGGTATCAACAGAGAAATTGATTCAAGAGGTTCACTTGATAGCTAAATTCAGTGAATCTTATACCAAGTCGTTTTAAATATATTCCAGTGTGTTTTACTGCCCAATCTGTCACCTGCTTTCTTTCTTCATTTAGTTAACATATTATCACTTAATCGTTACTCCCGACAATTTGGGACACTGGTGCTTGGACTTTATGACCTGCAGTGGTTTGTGACATCTCCAAAAGTTTCAGTAAGGGAGCTTCCTCCACTTTTCCCTTTTCCTCTCGTTTCTCTTATAGATACATTTTGGCAAGTACTGACAGCTTTATAATATTGTCATCCCATCCATGGAAGAGTAGTATTCAATTAAATTTTTTTCTTCTTAAACAGTTTTGGTCCTACTTTTTGCATTCCTAACAAGGAACACTGTTGATATTTGTAAATTGATGTGTGTACACACACACACACACACACACACACAAATATGTTATAATAGTTTGAGTTTTGGTTTATGATAGGTGTTCTTTTCAATTAATCATATTGTCTGGAGATAATCACAGTGTTTTTTTTTTTGTCTATATCTCATTGTTCTTTTGTTTGTCGTTACTTTATTGTTCAGTAAGACATCAGTGGGCATCTCGTCTGACTTAGAATCTTAAAGAAATGTGCCTAATATTTCCCCACTGATTCATGTTTACCATAGATTCTTAAAAAGTAGTCTTTATCTACAGAGTCCTAGCTTCCTGGTGATTTTTAAAAGCATAAATGGGTGTTGAATTTGTTATTCCTACATGCCGAGATAAACCTGAGATGTTTGTCCATAAAGTTCATGAATGTGCTGGATTTAATTCATAGATTTTTTTTTTCCTGATGGTAAGATGTTGATCCTTTCTCTAGATAATCCTGATTTGATAAAAAGTTATTATTTTAACATGTATGGAAATTAATTCCATTTAGCACATATACATATTAGAGTTTTATATTTATGTACCCAAATATACAGGTTTTTTTGGGGGG